GGTCAGAATCCTGTGCTTACGACACCTCGGTCTGTTGCCATGGAAACAGGGGCGGATTAAGGCTGGAGCGCGGAGCGCAGGGATCAGGCCCCTCCGCTACCTGAGCTCCCGCCTCAGCTAGCTCCCGCAGGGCGGGAGCAGCCAGCAGCAGACACCGCGGCTCAGCAGCCGCCGGGCCCAGGCTAGGGACAAGGGGGTCCCAGAGGGGCGCCACAGCCAGCCCACTGGGACCTCGGAGCAAAGAGACACATGCAGAGGCGAGGAAGTGAGGGTGGCGGGTCCGCGGGCTCACGTGTGGTCACCTGCCCTTTCTGGGCCGGAGGGACAGCACCCAGAACGGCAACCACGTGGGGGCGCGGCAGGACTTCCCCGGCACCCGCGCCAACTTTGCTGCGCTCCTGCTGCCGGGGAGTCTGGGCGAGGTGGTCGCCGAGCCAGCGCCCGTCAAGTTGAGCCTGGCTCCGGCCGCGCACACTGCCAGCACGGCCTTCGCTGTCGCGTCCCTCTGATCTAGGCATTAGGAAAGTTTGAGGAACCGGACTTCTGGCGCTTGCCACTCCCCATCCTCGGTCTCTGAGTGCTCAGGGCTTGTCCCTCGGGATAAGGCTAGGATGCTAGGAAGATGCCGAGTTAGGACCTGCGGTGAGCGCCGGGGTCGCGCGCTGACTGACCGCTGGCTGCACCCGAGTGCGGGTGGTACCCGGCACCGAAGCAGCAGAAGCAGAGGCGGGTGCCCGCGCAGGGAATGGAGCATGCAAGTGCAAAACTTTATAATGGCAACAAAGCAAAGGTCCCCCGAGACCAGCTCCCTTTTTACCAAAGGCTTCTACTCTGGTCTCTGAGCCCTCGAGACAGACCCCTGGGGCCTGGCCACTCGATCCATGAACAAACCCCGTGTTTCGCAACAGGCCACCAACGGGATCTCAGCTCCAGCAGCAGGCGCACGGCGGGTGTCTGTGACAAAAGCCAGCCAGCTAGCAGGGGGCTGCTTCCGGGACCCATTTCCCTGGAGCTCGACGGTTTCGGGGACTTGAGGCTCTGCCCGGTTCCATTCAACTCCAACTTGCTCCTACGGTTCCCACTCACCTTTGCGAAGCATGTTGGCCGCGGGGCCGCCACTCCGAGGTCGGCCTAGGCGCGCTCCCTCCTGGGGTCCAAATTCAAATCCCTGGGCGCCAGCTGCAGCTAATCCGAGCGCGTCGAGGCGGGGGCAAGCCGGGAATCCGCTTGTGCCCGGCGACCCGGTCCCGCAGGGGCATGGTGAGCCCAAGCCCGGCGCCCAGGGCACCGGCACCCGCTAGCAACCGCGGCGCTACCAACCAACCCGGTGCGCTCGCTCAGCCCGGGGCGAGTGGCTTGCTCCGCCGAGCAGGCGGCCTGATTGTGCCGCCCCAAACACTTTGCAGGCGGTTTTGAGGGGGGACGCCGCCCCCTGGCCGGCCGGCCGATGTCCCCTCTTCCCCGCCCCCTCGGGCAGTGGCTGCTGCAAAAGGGCGCTCGCACGCACAGCCCAGCTCCGGGGAAAGCGCCCGGCGCGCGTTTGCAGGACCAAGCGATCTGCCGAGCGGGGCGCCTCCCTTCCTCCCCCCGGCTTCCCCCACCTCTCTTCCTCCTCCCTCCCTCCCTCCCTCGCTCTTCAGCTCCCTCCCTCCCGCTCTGCTCCCCGCCCCCGCTCACGGAGCGCCTCCCATACAAAATTTATGAAAGTGCTCTCAGCTCGCGGTGCGGAGCGCCGTCCTATTCCCAGGGCAGCAGCGCTCAGCCGTGCGGCGCCGCCTCCCAAGGTGTTTTCGCTGCACCTGCCCCCGGGGACGATCCTCGGCCCGCGTCCGTCCAAGTACCTGCCCTAGTCCTTGGCCGGTCGTCGGGCCACTAGAACCGCCCTCCCCGGCCCCGCAGGCTTCTCCGAGCACGCACCCGCAGCCCAGCCCCCGCCAGCTCGCCCTTCGCGGCTGGAGGTCATGGAGAGAAGCGGCTGGAAGCGTGTACCCGCCCGGAGTCCTGATCACAAGTCCAACACCCTTGTCCCGTCTCCTCCCTGGCCGGTGCCCCTTCCTCCCGCAAGGCTCGACGGCTCTTCCCTGCCTGCCCAGAACAGCTCTGGCGAAAATAGCGGTTTCCCCATCCCGAGTCCCAAGACACTGTTCTTTTGGGGGAGATGTGCGGGACAGCTAGCATTCGAGGAGGTCCAGTTGAAAATCCTATAAGGAACTAATGCGAGCTCAGGTGGACTATCTCCGGCTGGAGGGCCCCTGGTCCCCACTGGTTCTACACAGACCCTGCCCGTGCGAGGATTCTCCAAACGGGGAGGAGGTACCTCCTGGAAAGCGGGTCCTGTAGGGGCCCTCTGGGCCAAGTGCCGAGAAGGTTCAAGCCAGCAGAGATCCTAGGTGGAGGCCGGCACCCCCTACTGGCCGGAGATAAGAAAGACTCTGAAAAAGGAAAAAAAGACTGGGCCAGGTCACTCATTGAACACACACATGTGTTACACTGTGTGGAAATTCTGCTAGTGAAAAAGAGAAGGTCTTTGTCTTCCTGAAGTCTACATTCTAATAGGACCAATGAGAAAACTCCAGATGAGATGGTAGTGCCTGGAAGAAAAACAAGCGGGGGGGGGGGGGGGGGTTTGCTCAGGAGCTGACCTGGGGTGGGGTTTCCGGTGGGGATGGAGCCAATTTGACAGCAGCCATCTAAACAGAGATCTAGTAGATCTAGTAGAAGTCCTCTGTGGACTCTGTGATAGGAAGATCAAAAGCAAGGCCAATATCATTCAGGCACTCAGTGCCCTAAGGCTTAAGCTCAGGACGCAGGCCTCAGGACGATCAAAAGCATTTGATAAGAGAGAAGAAAGACCCACAAGCTAGGTTCAAACACAACAAAAGTTACAAGGTGCAGCAGGAAGGGGCTGACTAGCAAGCAGCATCAGGTAGGAGGGAGAATCGGAAGAGGTGCCCCCGAGGTCTGGGTTCAACAGGTTGAGAGGGAAGGGCACCCAGCGGGGATGGAACGCCAGGAGGAACAGAATGCACACATGTTTGAAGATCCGAAGGAACCTTATTTAGAACATTCCTCAGCTTGGTCCTTCTAGGGTTGGGAACACAAAGTAATAGTCCCTGCCAGCTGTAGGACTCTCCTGGCCCTGCACCACCTGAGTCCTGCCAGACTAAACTCTAGGACACTGAGAGCTGTGGAGGCAATCCCAAAAGCTAAGGCCCAGAGAGGTTAATCAGCTAGCTCAAGAGCACCCAGTAATCAGTGACATAGTGTGGGCGCCAGTGAGGGTGTGCGATTCCCTTTCCCACCTTCCCATGCCGCCTCCCCAGGACCCCCTTGCCCCACAAACTCCAGTATGTTGGGTAAAGTTGGGCGGCATGAGTGTGAGAAGCTGTTATTTTGGGATTCGGGAGGGCTGAATGCTGACTTGGAGTCCAGCCAGGGGATGGGGGTGGCTGTAGGTGGGTGCTGTGGTGTCATGGGGGAGGGGGTTACACTGAGCCTGCCTTCTCATCAGGCAGTAATTACTCAGACTTCTGAGTAACCCAGGAAGGGAGACCCTCATGGACAGATGGAAATATCCAAGCTGAATGGCAGCTTACCATTGTCCTGCACGGCAAGGTCTTAGGGACACACTCATGATTGTTTGGAGCTGCATTGTTCCTCGGTAACACCTGGCCTCATAATGGGGGCAGAGCTGCTCATTAGAGATGGAAGCTATACAGCAGTGTTAGGAGATGGGCATACCTCTGACCAGGTAAGGCCCTAGGGGATGAGGCGGCTGTTGGGAGAAGCCACCACGCCATTGGTGACCATCTTTCCACCATGGAAATTAAAGCTAAAGCCAGAGAGGAAGCTGTCCACAGGGAGACTAGGTTTTGGTATGCCAAGGGGGCAGAGTGGGCTTCTGGAGCTCAGACCCTGCACTCGGAGGGGTTGGGGATGTCCAGAGAAGCTGGGAGACATGGGAAGCCCAGGCTGGACTCTTATCAAGGTGAAGAAAGACTGTCTACCATGATGAACACATCCTGAGCCAAGCCATCCCTGTCCTCAGAGTGGCAGAGACTGAGGGGCACTGACCCTTTCCACCCCGTCCCTTGGTTGCTCACTCCCAGCCTGCCTAGCTCTCTCCTCTAGCAGCCTCCCAGGCAAGGCCTGTCCCTGGCTGCTTGTTTTTACATCTCTCTGCACCTTAATTAGGGGTTTCCAAGCAGGGAGGGCCTCCAGGGGAGCCTTAGGCCACAGAGCTGTCTTAAAGGGACAGCTGTGCTCATGGTACCACTGCAGAAAGAGGAGGATGGGGAGGGGTGAGTTCAGAGTCCTGGGGACCACTGCTCTGTGGTGCAGACTGCTGAGGGTCAGCTCTGCGGGTGCTTTGTTCTTCCAAAGGTCAAGGCTGTCTCATTGACTGCTCTGCCTTCTCTTCGGGGTCCCAGGAGTGCTGTCCACCGATCAGAAAAAAGGCTATTGCCTGAAGGACAGTCTAGGCAGGGCAAAGGCTTGCCAGGACCCAGAAGGTTTAGGGAATTGGAGGCCTCAGGCTGCCCCATCCTTCCAAGAAAGCCTTTTCAGTTTCCAGGCTCTTTTGAGTGCCAACTTCTCTGACGTCAACCCTCCACACGGTGGGCTCACAGCAATCCACACCAAGCTTTCGGCTTGGGAGCTGGGCTGGTGGGCACTAAGGCTCCATCTTGTTAGGATAGCAGTCCTCTGAGATACAGAAGGTGTTCATGTCGTCTGACAGACTACTGCTTACCAGAAAGAACGAGGGTGAGGGTGGGGAGCAACAGGAAGGCCCGGTAGGTCTGCAGAACCAGGCCAGGAAGAGCATGGGGACAAGGTCTCTCAGAAGGCAACTGCAGTGGTCTGAGACCACTAGGGGACAGGGCGAGTCTTCAGAGTCCAGACCTTTTGGACCAAAGGCAGACCATTGTAGCACCGCCCACATCTCTCTTTAGTCTCCGCCCTGCGCGAATCCCCGCCCTTTGCTGGCCGCTCGGCGGTCGATTGTGCTGCCTGGGTTCTCCGCGTTCTTCCAGCACTGCCTTTTTGGTCCCCACGTGGGTTCCAGGGTGATGGCGGCGCTGGTTGTGTCGGAGACAGCGGAGCCAGGAAGCCGGGTCGGCCCTGGCAGAGGTGGGTGCAGCAACGCTGTGGCCTCCAGACCTTGCATTTCGGGTGGGACCCCCCGGTCAGGGACAGGGCGGGAGGTGACTCCTTTCTCCTTGAGACCCGAGAGTCTCATGCTGTTAGAAGTTCTGGGCTCCCATCACCAGAGCCCCAGGGGACCAGTCTTTCGGGACGTGAAGAGCTGTCCCTCCTGGGAGTTTATGATCCTCAAGGCGAAACTACACCCTATCCGGGTTGGCAGACTGACCCCGGAAGAGTGACGGATAAGACGGATCCGGGGGGGAAGGGACCGTGGTGCGTTTTACAAGTGGACAAGGAATGCTTTTATTAATGCGAAGAGGCGCTTGGTGTCCTTCACTAGGCACTAGGCAGCGCCCACTAAATGCCAGCCCTGTGCTAGGTGTAGGGACTAGAATACTCCCTTGACCTAAGGATCTCTACTCAACTGGGGGGCGGGGGCGGGGGATACCGATGCACACAGATGACAGCCTTGATAAAGGAGGAGGTGCCTTGTCCAAAAAGACCTGTTTAAGATATTCTGCGGGGAAGCCGACGAGTCTAAGCTAGTTTGTTCAAGGCCATGGAAACTACTGACCAAACGCTCTGACAGCGATAATATTTAAATGTTGTCTCAGGGCCCCAGCCTACCAGGCTATAGAGTTCTTCAGGGTTCCCCTCCGCCACAGTAGAAGCAAGTACGGGTCTGGGAGGGTCCCTTCTATCATGGGTGCCCAAGCAGAAGTTCTGATACATAACACCGGCTCTGTAGTTATGGGATGACTAAATTAATTTCTTGTCTTTTCACATCTTCAAACTGTTTGGCTCCTAGTGAGATACTATACTGGGGAGAATAGGATGTCCAGGATAAGCCCTTGCTGATGAGCCTCAGTATTTTTTTTTAACCAGAAATTGAGTATTTTTTTAAATTTAGTTTTTTTTAAACACATTCATTTTGTTTATTTTACATTATTTATGCTTATTTGACGGTATGTGTCACAGTGCCTGTGGGGGGGGTCAAAGAACAACCAGAAGAGTCAGTTTTCTCCATGTGGGGCTCAGGAATGGAGCCCAGGTCCTCGGACTTGGAGGCGGGCACCTTTACCCACTGAGCTGCTGGCTTCAGTATTTTCTTTTTTCTTCAAGGCCTTATTTGTATACCTCTCTGCCCAGGCTAGAGTGTTACTCCTAAGGTGTAAAGTCACTCTTATCTGTTTGTCCGCTGATGGTACTAAAGTGTATTCTTTCTGGCCTTCCTAGGTTGAACATAAGGGCCACAGCCTAGGGAACTTGTTCAGTCAATGCAATGTATGGTACTTATTTCCCTTTAATTAAAAATAAAGATTTTTGGGTTTTTTTTTTTTAAGTTTATTTTTACTTATGTATATGTGTGTTACCAGTGTGGGTGCCAGAAGAGGTAGGAAGATCCTGTCAGATTCCTCTGGAGCTGGAGTTACAGGTGGTTGTGAACTGAGCAATGAAGGTGCTGGGAATCAAATGCAGGACCTCTAAAAAAGCAGCTGGTGCTCTAACAACTGAGCTGCCCCGCCCCCCCCCCCCCCCCCCCCCCCCCCCCCCCCCCCCCCCCCGCCTCCCGCCCCGTCCCCAATTGTGGCTGTTTTGAGACTCACTGTAACCTAGACAAACCACCATGACCACCGCCAACAACAACAAAATTAAAAAGTTACACACACACACACACACACACACACACACACATAGAGGAGACAGATACTGGGGACTGAACCCAGGGCCTTGTACATGCTAAGCAAGCAGTCTGAGTTATACAACTAATCCTTTTCACTTTTTATTTTGAGACAAAGTCTCAATTAGTTGCTCAGGCTAGCTGTGAACTTTTGATTTTATTTTCCTGCCTAACTTCCTAAGTAGCAGAGATTACAGGCCTTCTGTACCATGCCCAGTTTAATTTTGTGTGTGTGTGTGTGTGTGTGTGTGTGTGTGTGTGTGTAGGCCAGAGGTTAGTGTCAGGTACCTTGCTTTCTCCCCTTCTTCTTCTTAATTAAAAAAAAAATTTTTTTAAGCCAGGCATGGTGGTACTCTTTTAATCCCGGCACTTGGGAGGCAGAGGCAGGTGGATTTCTGAGTTTGAGACCAGCCTTATCTAGAGTAAGTTCCAGGACAGCCAAGGCTACACAGAGAGACCCTGTCTCAGAAAAAAAAAGAATAAAATAAACATGTATTTGTTATGTATATGTGCAGCAGCACATGTGTGGAGATCATGATATCACTCAAGGGAGTCAGTTCTCTTTTTTACTATATTGGTTCAGGGAATTGAACTCAGGTTCTCAGACTTAGAGGCAGGTACCTTTATGCTGAGTCATCTTTCCAGTCCTCCACTTTCATTTTTTTCCCCCAATAGATTTTTTCTTTTTAATATTTATTTATTATGTATACATTGTTCTGCCTTTATATATGCCTGCATGCCGGAAGAGGAGCAGCCAGTGCTCTTAACCACTGAGCCATCTCTCCAGCTCCTTCATTATTATTATATTATTATTATTTTTTTAAGATTTGTTTTTTGCTAGGCAGTGGTGGCGCATGCCTTTAATCCCAGCACTTGGGAGGCAGAGGCAGGAGGATCTCTGTGAGTTCAAGATCATCCTGGTCTATAGAGCGAGTTCCAGGACAGGCTCCAAAACTATACAGAGAAACCCTGTCTGGGGTGGGGGTGGGGTTATTTTTTATTTATGTGTGTGTTTCTTGTATGCACATGTGAGCAGGGACCCCAGGAGGCCAGAAATGGGTGTTGGATCCCCTGGAGTTGGAGTTACAGGCTGTTGTCATACCAAGTGCTCACAGCTGTGAGCTGGCTCTCCAGCACCCCACTTTCCTTTTCTGATTCAGTCTGCCAGTGAAACTGGAGCTCATTGATTTGCCGAGGCTGGCTGTCCAACAAGCTGCAGCACTGGGATTGCAGGACTGCGTGGTGACCAGCCTTTTTCTTTTGTGTGTGTGTGTGTGTGTGTGTGTGTGTGTGTGTGTGTGTGTCACGGTTTTAAGACGGGTTTCTCTGTGTAACAGTGCTGTCCTGTCCTGGGACCCACTCTGTAGACCAGGCTGGCCTCGAACTCACAGAGATCCCGAGTGCCACCCCACCACTGCCCGGCTTTTGTGTGTGTGTGAGACCAGTGTTTTTTGGCATGGGTGCTGGGGATCTGAACTGAACTTCTCATGCCCATGTGACAAGCACTTTACCTTTTCTTCACCCTCGATTTTTGTGGGGGTTTTTGTTGTTTTCTGAGACAGAGTCTCTCTATGTCATGCTGGGTGACTTGGAACTCGCTATATATAGGCCAGGCTAGCCTCAAATTTAGAGATGGGTTTTTGGTTTTTTTTGAGACAAGGTTTTTATGTTGCCCTTGCTGGTCTTGACACTTGATTCTCCTGCCTCAGGGGTACACCCCACGTCCAGCTTTATTGCCCTTTTAAATGAGGAGGGGATGAAGTCATGGATTAGTCAGTGTGGGCCAAGTCCATGGGACTTCTGGGTCACCAGACTCACTCTCCTTTGCTTTTTAGTCTTTTCTGTGCCGTTTCTAGTCCTGAGGAGTGAGCCATACCCCTATTTATGACTGCTAGTAATCTAACAGCATAGAAGTAAATTATGCAGGTTTTTTCCCCTGGTTTGTGGGCTGTCTCTGTCTGTAGGATGAATTCAGTTGAAGCAAAAGCTGGGTGGATGTCCTTTGTGTGCAGAATCTGGGCCTTCAGTCTAGAGTCAACAGATGAAGTGACTGGCTGCCCTGTGGTCTAGATGCAGACTCAGGCCTTATGTTGGTTCTAGGTCGCATCTCTCGGGGTCGACTGGCCAATCAGATCCCCCCTGAGATCCTGAACAATCCCCAGCTGCAGGCTGCCGTCCAAGCCCTGCCTTCTAACTACAACTTTGAGATCCCCAAGACCATCTGGAGGATCCAACAAGCCCAGGCCAAGAAGGGTGAGCCCCCAAAGGATGGAGCTGGGGTGCCTGCCCAGACACAGCCATGTCCCTGAGTCCCATCTCTGGCCCTCTGCCTTTCATGTCTTCTTTGTCTTGCAGTGGCCTTACAAATGCCAGAAGGCCTCCTCCTCTTTGCTTGCACCATTGTGGATATCTTGGAAAGGTGAGGCTTGGGCACTGGAGAGCAAGCCGAGTCTTTGTCCAGTATAGTTAGTTATGCCTGCTGGTATCATCTCCTCTTCTGGACCATTGGCTAGCCTCTGAGCCTCCGACAAGCATGCGCACACAAAGGGAAAAACTCAACACAGAACTCCCTCCCCTATATAATCTGGACAAGGGCAAAGAAGTTAGTTCCGGTTTCTAGGTCAGAACAGGTGGTAGCATCTGGGAGGAACCTAAGTGGGTGAGGGTCTGACTGTCAAGGGTGGGGGCAGAGTGGGGGGTGAGGGGCTGGGGAGTGGAAGAGGGTGCGTCTTCTTCTCAGACTCAGTTTGGGTGGGAGTAGGCATGGGTGCAGAGGAGAGAGATGCCTAGGGAAAGGTATTCAGTTCCTCTCCCCCCTCCTAAGTTTCTTCATGACAATGAGCCATTGCTGGGGGGGTGGGGGGAGCAGCACTCAGCCATCTGGAGCCAGCATGAGCACAGGGAGGGGGGGGATGAAGGAAGGGGAGGTCATCTCCTGCTGAGAACCTCCTACTTCCCTGCTGCCGCCCTCACCCCGCTCCCTCCCTGCCACCGCAGACCCACTTCCCTCTTCCCACCCTCTTGCCCCTTGGGGATCGCTCTCTGGGGCTCAGGCCAATTTGCATACATTTTAATCTATAAAAAATTAAGTGCTCTGGCTGACTCAGAGCCTGGGCTGCATTCTAAGGAGCTGAATAATCGGCTTCTGTGCACAGCCTGATTTGGGGAAGGGGGTGGAGGAGGGGGCAGATTGGCAGCGGTTCAGCTTCCCCCACTACACCCCAGAGGAGGAATGGGGGAGCCAGCCACAAAGCCAGCATCTATGCTCAGGTATGGTCTCTCCTCGGAGAGCTCAGCCTCCCGCTCTGTCTCAGTGGTGAGTTTAGGGCTGCAGGGTCTTTCCTACCCACCCTGCCCCCCAGTGATTCAGGCCTGGCAGCAGATCTCATAACAATGTGCTGTCCAGAGCCCACTCTTCCTGATGCATGAGGAGTGTGGGCAGCGCCATGTGCTGTGGGGGAGCTGTACATGGGTCCTCCCCATCTTGGGGGCGCCTATGGCCTTGCCTAAGGATGGGGAGCTGGTGGGGTCTGGGGAAGGGGTGGCCATGTGTATCCATACATCCATGCCCACACAAACAACAGTGCTAGAGATTGTGGGGGGTAGGGGGTTGGGGGGTGGGGAGAATCTTTCCCTGCCCTGGGAAGGTGAATCAGTCTTGGGGTCCATGTTGGACTCTGCACGCGCACTTCTGTGGGGTAGGGGTCCTGCTTGCAGTCTAGGGGCTGGACAGGGTGCTGCAGACATATCCTCACACAGCAACTGTTCTAGGAGCCACTGCCAGGGCTGAGGGAGGTGGCAGCTGCACCTCCTACTCTTGGTTGGCAGCTGCCAACTCAAGGACTTAGAAGATGTGGGGAAAGAAGAGCCAGGTCCCGAGACACCTCCAGAGTTAGGACTGTCTCCCAATGCATTCCTTGTGTTGCTGGACCATTGTTTCCCCACCCCCACCCCTCCAGGTTCACAGAGGCTGAAGTGATGGTGATGGGTGATGTGACCTATGGGGCCTGCTGTGTAGATGACTTCACTGCAAGGGCCTTGGGAGTCGACTTTCTGGTGCACTATGGCCACAGCTGTCTAGGTATGGTGGGCTGGGACACCAGTCCTAGCAGGGAGGCAGGCTGCAGGCTAGTCTCCATCATGGGTTCTTCTTGTTATATCTACTTGCAAGCACAGAATCCCTTCTGGTTTCCAGGATGGCTTTGGCCTTTCTGCTTTGCTGGTGACTCTTTCCTCTGGATTTGGCTGCCTTGGAAATCCTGCTACTGTCTCAGATGTGCATGTTTGATGTTTTTGTTTGTTTGTTTGAGACAGTCTTACTCTGCAGCCCAGGAAGGCCTGGAACCTAACAGCTGTCTTCCTGTTTAACTTCCCAGATGCTAGGATTACAGGTGTGAGTTACCACACCTGGCAGATGCAGGTGTTTTGAAAAGGCTGTTGATGGTAGGACAGACTGGGTACCCAGCTAAGAGATGAGAAAGAGTTCCAGGAGACTGTGATCCGTCCTTCTCCCCTAGTCCCTCCCAAGCCAAAGCCACTGTCCTGGCTACTTTTAAGATTGGGACTGGGCCAGGCTTCCTGCTCCTCCTGCTTTTTAGAACACTTTTTTGAACTCTTCTCTGTAGTTCCCATGGACACGTCTGTCCAAGACTTCCGTGTGCTGTATGTCTTTGTGGATATCCGCATAGATACTGCCCACCTTCTGGACTCGGTCCGCCTTACCTTCACCCCAGGCACTTCACTTGCTCTGGTCAGCACTATTCAGTTTGTGTCAACTTTGCAGGTAAGTAGATGAAGGACTGCTGGCTTCCCACGGGGGTAGAGAGGGTACTCCAGGGTGCTCCTGGCTCCTGGGCCTGGTGCTCTGGGCTCTTCTCTCTGGCCTTGGCTTTCTCCCAGCTACTTGTTTCCCGTCCTTCATTATCAATACAGGCAGCTGCACAGGAGCTGAAAGCTGATTATCGTGTCAATGTCCCACAGTGCAAGCCCCTCTCCCCTGGGGAGATCCTAGGCTGCACATCCCCTCGACTACCCAAGGATGTGGAAGCTCTCGTGTAAGTTAAAAATGGAGGCTAGTTTGTAGAGACACACAAAACGTACTCAGGGAAGGAGCCTGAGGCTCCTGGTACAGGAAAAGAGGCTGAGTCTGAAGCTCCTAACCTGTGTGCTCAAGGTCACCTTGCAAGACGGAGCCCAAGTGGGGACTACACTTCAGGTTGACTGGAACCTTCCCGTGTTCCATCCTTCATCCACAAGGCTATGCCTCGGGTGGAGACGGAACTCCGAAGGCCTGATGGGGGCATCAGGATGGGTAGAAATGGAGGGCATATAATTAGAGAAGATGGATGGGCACGCCCCAGGCTGCAGCCCCATTAATTTAGCATCCGGACAGCTAACAAGCAGGAGCAGCGTGTCTCCTGCCGCCTAATTATTTTAGGTAATGGAAATGCTTAATGTTGTGTGAATGCAGCCAGCCTCAGAGCCGACAGCTCCTCTGGAGGGGAGTTCTTTCCTAGCTAATGGCAAGAAAGGTGGGAGGGGCACTTGACTCAGTCCCCGCCCCGGGAGCTTTGGGTACTGGTCCTGCATAGGATACTCCTGCCCTTAGCCCCACCTCAGGCCTTCCACAGCCCACACCTGGCAGTCCTGTTCCCTGAGGGCCATCCCCCTTGTACGCGTGCCAGTATAATGGATGCTCTTCATCTGGGGCTTCAAGGTGTGTGTTGAGGGAGATTACCCTGAGTGTTGGCCTGGTCTACAGAGTGAGTTCCAGGACAGCCTTAGAAACCCTGTCTTAAAACAACAACAACAACAACAACAACAACAAAAAGAAACAAAAGAACATGAGTCACTATACCTGGCTTGAGCAAGTATATTAAGGTCCTTAGACCCTGGGTGTTTCCTGTAAATGGCGACAGTGTAGGTGTGTTAGTTACTTAGTCCGGGCCTGGAAATCAGAAGACCAGGAAATAGCAGCTCTTATAACTTGGCATTGGGCTGGTGCTGGTTTGGTTCAAGAGTAGCCTCTGTGCACCCTACAGCCTCCTATAACATACAGTTAAAGTTTTTTATGTCTTTATTTATTTACTTTGGATTTCTGAGACAGGGTTTCCCTGTGCAGCTCTGGTTGTCCTGGAACTCCCTCTGTAGACCAGGCTGGCCCTGAACTCAGAGGTCCACCTCCTCTGCCTCCTGAGTGCTGGGGTTAAAGGCATGCCGTGCCACCACGGCCTGGTGCACCACCACCGCCCAGCTTCTTTATTTTTCCTGTATGAGTGTTTTGCCTTCATGTATGTCTGTTTGCTACGTGTGTGCCTGGTCCATGTGGAGGTCAGAAGAGGGCATCGGGTCCTCTAGGATAGGAGTTACAGGTGGCTTTGAGCCACAGTGCAGGTGCTGTGAATGGAACCCAGGTCCTCTGAAAGAGCCATCTCTCCAGCCCCGAGTATAGACAACAACTTGAACACAACTTCTTATGTCTGTGTTGATCTTAATAAAAGAGAAACTGTCCCTCAGATTTCAAAATAGGCTCTCCTGGACCCAGGTGGCCTTTGGTTGGCCCTGGCACTTCCTTTACTTTTCCTACAGAAGCCTGTATACACAGCTAGAGGTGTTTCCTAGGCATCTAAGTCCAGGTCCTTACTGTACATGAGAGGCCTAAGGTGAACTGAGGACTGTCTCAGCAGCATGGGTGGCTGAGGACTCAGTCATCTGGACCTGTAAGCCAGGGTACCCCCTGTGCTACCCCATACCACACTTACACACTCTTTCCTCTCTGTAGGTATCTTGGAGATGGCCGCTTCCATCTGGAGTCTGTCATGATTGGCAACCCTAATGTCCCTGCTTACCGGTATGGGCTGGGGAGGGCTGGCCATCTGAGGCAGGGTGAGAATCTGCCCTGGAGGCCTGCAGCAGGCTACTCCACAGTCCCTGTTCACTAAATGGCAGCCATCCCTAACTGAGGCACCTCTGGAATTTAGACCCAGGACTGCTGTGGCCTACCTGGGAGTCATAGCAAGCTCCTAAAACACTGCCTTGCTCTCCCCTGCTCTAGCTGTGGGGCTGATCTCCTCATTACAATCCTTATTCCTGCCTGGGGCCAGATTTCTTAATTACTTGCTTAGATCCTGTGTCAGGAAACCTCTTAGCCAGTGTGACTCTGGCTGTCACAGTGACCCTGGCAACTTTTCCAGGTACGACCCATACAGCAAAGTTCTATCCAGAGAGCACTATGACCATCAGCGTATGCAGGCCCTTCGCCAGGAAGCCATTGCTGCGGCACGCTCAGCCAAGTCCTGGGGCCTCATTCTGGGAACTTTGGGCCGACAGGGTAGTCCCAAGATCCTGGAGGTGAGAGGCTCAGCATCAGGAAGAGGGGGCTGACAGGAAAGTAGCTGGAAATCTCTGTAGGCCAAAGTGTCTGGCTTTGGCTGTTTCATCACTGAGACTCCAACTGGGCCTCCTTCTTCCAACAGCACTTGGAATCTCGGCTCAAAGACTTGGGACTTCCCTTCGTGAGGCTTTTGCTCTCTGAGATCTTCCCCAGCAAGCTCAGTCTACTTCCTGGGGTGGATGTGTAAGTCCCCACCTTGCCTATGTAGGGTGAGCAGCTAAAGGGAGCTCAGAAATCAGGTTCTGCCTAGCACAGACTTGAGGCTACAGTCAATGGGGCTTACGTGTGTGGTCCTGAAACTTTAGTATTTATCAAGCACCTATCATGGAGGGGCCACCCTTGACCATGGGCCACGTGCATTGTCTGACCATCATAGTAGTCTTGTGGGATGAGTGTGTGTGAGGGTACTATGTACAAACTTTGGTTCTAGGGGAGGTAACTACCCACACATGAACTACCCGCAGAAAGCCCTTAGGGTACCGGGGAGATAGATGGCTTATGGAGTAAAGGTCTGATGACCTGAGCCTGATTCACTTAAGGTGAAAGTTTTTCTTTCCTTTTGTTCTTTTTTCTTTTGATTTGTTGAAATAAGGTTTCTCTGTGTAATAACTCTGGACATCCTGGCACTTGCTTTGTAGATCAGGCTGGCCTCAAACTCAGAGAGATCCACCTGCCTCTGCCTCCTGAGTGCTAGGATTAAAGGCATGTGCCACCACTGCCCGGCTGGAAATTTTTTTCCAAATTTTGCATGTGTGGAGCTCTAGTGCCCACCCTCAGTGGCTATCCTCTCTCTCTCTCTCTCTCTCTCTCTCTAATTTTCTGAGACACAGTCTCTCACTGACCTGGAGCTTGCCAAGTAGGCTAGCTTGCAATCCACCTGTCTAGGCCTCCCTAGTGCTGGGGTACAAGTGTATATGACACACACACACACACACACACACACAATTTATTTATTTATTTTTTAATGCAGTGGTTCTGGGAGTTAAGGTCAAGACCTTGGCTTACAAGGCAAGCACTTTAGAGTTAGTTACCTTCCCAACAGTATAGTACTAACAATAGAATCAATACATCCTGTTGACAAATGGTCATGTTCTTCAGTGTGGTACCTCAGAAAGAGGTGGCTTCCATGTCAAGTCTTACTAACTTCTTTTCTTAGGTGGGTGCAGGTGGCATGTCCACGCCTCTCCATTGACTGGGGTTCAGCCTTTCCCAAGCCACTGCTGACACCCTACGAGGTAACAACCACATTTGGAAAATCTGCAGGAGTGCGCGCTTTGTACCTCCTGTCAAGAGAGGGTTGTGAGATGGCTGGCATCATGAGCACATTCCAAGGTTGGGTCACCATCTTGTGTAGCTTTTTTTGTTTGTATTTAAGAATTGGTCCTGATACTTAGTCTATTCTGTTGGTAGTAGCCCTGACTGGCTGCAGTTTACAGAGTGCTGGGAGGGCAAGAGCCGCCACACCTGACTCACTGTGTAAATGAGTCTCACCTCACATTTCTTTCTTTTTTCTTTGTAGTATATATTATATATAATAATTATATTCTAAGAAGAATACTACCTTTCTTAGGCTGTGGTCAAATTTACTAATGCAGAGGCAAAAAAAAAAAAAAAAAAAAAAAAAAACCACAAAAAAAAAAAACCAGGATTGCTATCTTTGTCTTGTTTTTCTTCTCTAGGCGGCCGTGGCCCTGAAGGACATTTCCTGGCAGCAGCCCTACCCTATGGACTTCTACGCCGGCAGCTCCTTAGGGCCGTGGACAGTGAATCACGGTCGGGACCCCGGGCCCCGGGGTATCGGCCAGCCAGGCAAGGTAGGCGGGGACATCAACGATGGCGGAGTTGACTTAGGCTGACTCCGCGGCGTGAGCCACGGTCGCCGCCCTGAGGACGCCCGGGAAAATGCAAGTTTGCCGGGTGGAGGTCGCAGTAGTGAGACCTGGCTTTGTGGGCCACCTCAGGTGCAGCAGGGGTCGAGAGGCCCGTCTCCAGCCCAGGCCTGTGAGGGCTGCAGCTGCGCAGAGCCGAGGGCCGCACCGCCCGCTCCCTGAGACGTCGCGAGTCGCAGGTATTCACGGCCACACCCCACCTTTTTGTCTTAGAAGCCCCGCCCTCCCCGAGTCCCCGCCTTCTGGGTGTTGCCCGTTCCCGGTCCCCGCCCCTCCCAGTTCCACTTCCGCCCGGGGAAGGCCCGCTTCCGGTGGCTCTGCAGCATGGCTGCGCGGCGGCCTCTGAGAGTGCTGTGCCTGGCGGGCTTCCGGCAGAGCGAGCGGGGCTTCCGTGAGAAGACTGGAGCGCTGAGAAAGGCGCTGCGGGGCCGCGCAGAGCTCGTGTGCCTCAGCGGGCCGCACCCGGTCCCCGAGGCAGCAGCTCCCGAGGGCGCCGGGCCAGGCTCCGGTGAGACAAGCCTCCGGAAATGCCCCGCGTCTTGCCGGTCCCTTAATACCGGGGCCTCTCGGTTCTTCTCACCCAGCCGCTTTAACTCAGGCTCCAGCCTGCGCTTCCAGATATTCTCCTTTATCTGTGTCCAGTCCATACCCGGTCTCTTTTCCCCTCTCCCTGCCAAGTCTCCTGGTCGCGTCTTTGCCCCCTCTCTTTCCCCCTGGTCCCCTCTAACCCTGATCCTGTGCTCTTCTCCCATTCGCTTCTAGGGCCCTGTGCTCCGGAGGAGCAGCCTCGAGGCTGGTGGTTTTCTGAACAGGAAGCAGATGTTTTCTCGGCGCTGGAAGAGCCTACAGCGTGCAGGGGTTTGGAGGCGGCCCTGGAGACGGTGGCACAGGCCCTGAACACGCTGGGACCTTTTGACGGACTTCTTGGCTTCAGCCAGGGGGCTGCACTAGCAGCTTTTGTGTGTGCCCTGAGTCAGGCAGGCGATCCCCGCTTCCCCTTGCCGCGATTTATCATACTTGTGTCGGGGTTCTGTCCCCGAGGCCGTGGCTTTAAGGAATCCATCCCGCAGAGCCCCTTGTCACCGCCCTCCCTTCATGTTTTTGGGGACACTGATCGAGTTATCCCTTCTCAGGAGAGTATGCAATTGGCTAGCCAATTCCTTGGCGCTGTCACCCTCACCCACGCTGGTGGTCACTTCATTCCAGCAGCTGCAGCCCAGCGTCAGGCCTACCTCAAGTTCTTGGACCAGTTTGCAGAGTGAAGGATCAACAAATGCCTCTGGACTGCTCCCACTTGCTCTGGCAGCCAGTTGTCTAGTGCCCTCCTGTTGTTAAACTCGTGGACTCTCCACTGTGGCACTCTTAGCGTGGCTAGTTGAAAGACAACTATCAGTTCTCAGGACTCACATAAACCCTGCCCTTTACTGGAGCAAAGAGGAGCGGGCAGCCTTAATAGACTTCATTTATGATAAACATGAGAAAGAAGGCCAGAAAGCCGTGAGAGGAAAGTGATGTGCAAGCAGGGGCTGGCCCCATTACGATTGGCCCACAATAAAGTGGTTTAAGATTGTGAGTATCTTTTTCCTGGCACAGACCCCAGGGCAGCGCCAAGCTAGGAATTACTTGCAGTTCTGAGCCCCCAGACACATTTTTGTTCCACTTTTGGTGGACTTTTTTTTTTTTTTTTTTTTAATTTTGTGTCTTAAAATTCTGCTTACTTAGTGTATGTGCGTACACAAGTCATGACCGTGTGGAGGTTAGAGGAGAACCAGAGGGCATTGATTCCTCCAACCTTGTGAGTCCAGAGTGGAACTCTGATTATCAGGCTTGGCAACTCAGGCCTTTACCATCCTTTGGTGGAAGTCTGAAGTCCCAGACCAAAGAAGCCAGAGGTCTTGGTGACAGAATCAGAGTTTCTACATCTGAAGAGGTTGGGGAAAGAACACTTGGCAAGGCTCTGCCTGGGTCGTCAGCTTTTAGGCTTCCTAGAGCCTGGTACCTGAGAATTTGGAGTTGGTTTCTTTTGGTTCCTGGCCCTGTTCTTTGCTTTCTCTTCCGTACCTTCTGAACTCCGAGCTTGAAGGCTTGGATAGTACCAGATGTTGGGTAGGGCCAAAGACAGCACAGAATAAACTGCCTTTTCCTAAGGATCTACGGGGGTTTCTGAGATGAATGCTATTCATAATCGATAATGCTAATTATCACTGATGTGTTGAGAAAGCCTAAGTAGACTGGCTGTTTTACCCTTGGGGAGTGCAGTCAGCCCAGGCACTGTAAGGATCGTTGCCCTCTTGCTGTTTTTTTTTTTTTTTTTCAGTGCCCATTCCAGCCACACATGTAGACACACTGCCCTCTGATGTCTGCCTCTGAAAGACAAACATTGCTTTTTCTAAGATACCACAAGGTCCTACCTAGTCCCAAGCCACAGTATCCTCTAGGGAGGAGGAGTTGGGGCTGGCACAAATACTCCAAATCATCCTTTAAGCATCACACTTAAGCCGCCGGGCAGTGGTGGCGCATGCCTTTAATTCCTGTACTCGGGAGGCAGAAGCAGGTGTATCTCTTGTGAGTTCGAGGCCAGCCTGGTCTACAGAGGGAGATCCAGGACAGGCACCAAAACTACACAGAGAAACCCTGTCTCGAAAAACGAAAAAAAAAAAAAGGAAAACAATCACACTTAAGGTATCCACAGTTATATGTTCCTTGACCGAGAAGTGTTTCCAAGTATGGACTGGAGGGGCTGGAGAACTGGCTGGGTGGTTAAGAACACAGGCTTCTCTTTCAGGGGACCCAGGTTCAGTTCCTAGCACCCACATGGCAGTTCACAAACATCTATAACTCCAATTCCAGAGGCTCTAACCCCAGGACCCAGGCACACACGCACATGGTATATGCTTAAAGTCAGTGACCCAGAAGTTTCAGGGTGGTGGGGCATGCAGGCAGAGTAGGAGGATCTCTGACTTTGAGGACAGCCTGTCTACATAGAGAAACTCCGTTTCAAAAACTGTTTTTGAACATGACTAAGGCAAGGCAGAGCCTGGCCAGGTGTTCTCTACCCCCAAACCCCTCAGCTGTAGTCTCCGGGTGAGTCACCCAAGCCTCTGGCTTCTTTGGTCTGGGACTGAAGGCTTCTACTAAAGGGACAGTGCGGTGGCTCGGCAGTAAAGCGTTGACTGCCAAAACAAGAAGACCCTCACACACTGAATCTTTTTAAAAATTTTACAAAGGCCCACTTCACTGGTTCTAGAACCTTTTGAAACAAAGCTGGGGTGGGGAGTTGGTTCCTCTGCCCTGCTCTAGTCTCCCAAGGGTTGCTTCCTTGACAAACAGATGGGATTACTCCTCTAAACCTACTGGCTTTGGACCGGTAGTATTCCTTGCTTTTCTGAAAATAGATGGATCTGCAAATCAGTACTCGGATCCTCTGGCAGTCATAGGCTGTCCCCTTTAGGTGGACTCAAGTTGGTGAAAAGGATCACTTGCACTCCTGGGAATCTTATAATAAAGATGCCTGTGAATGGTCTCTAGGCCCTGGCTTACAGGAAAAGGGGAAGTTCAGGCATATTAGGTGAAACAGAGGTGATCACACATGGAGTAAAGATTCCTCCTGAGGTCACCCAACAAGTACAGTGTCACCTCACCATGCAGACTGGACCCCAACACTACCACATGCACATCCTGTGGGCCACTTACACGAGGAACATTTGTTAAACTTGCAACTCCTGAGCAAACTCTAGATCTACTTGACAAACTGCTGCTGGTCATTCCTGAGGTAGGTATTTGAAAACTACAGCCTAGGGTAGAATTTTAAATCCCTGGTAAGTACGTTATTAGGAAAGAGCCTCTATGTGACTCAGAACCCTCTGGGGAGGAGAGAAAGCAGGTCCCCCTGAGGAATCACTGCTCTAAAATCTTCAATTTAGCTGTGCAGGCATGGTGGCGCATGCCTTTAATCCCAGCACTTGGGAGGCAGAGACAGGTGACTATTTGAGGCCAGCCTGGTCTACAAAGCAAGTTCCAGGGCTGCTACATAGAGAAGCCCTGTGTCCAAAAACAATTTCTTTCCATTTACAGCCCAGGCAAATAAGGTCCTGAGGCTAGAAACATTTATTGAGAAATAACTATACCAGACAATGGGATAAGTACAAGCCCATCTAATTTATTTTTGAGACAGGGTCTCACTGTAGTTCTGGTTAGCCTTGAACTCACAGAAATTCACTTATTTCCCTGTCTCCCAAGTACTGGGATTCAAAAACATACACCACCATGGCTTAACTCATCTATTTTTTGGTGCCATGTATCAAACCCAGGACCTTGGGCATGCTAAGCACAGACTGTACCACAGAGCTCTATGCCCAGCCCACCCCCTTATTGCCTAATTTCATTCTGTAATGTCATGAAGTAAGTACTGTCATTAACCTAATAACCGAGTTTTACAATTGAGGAAACAGTCACAGAAAGGCTAAGTACATTACTCAAGATTGGATGATTCACATTCTTGCCTGTGGCCATCAGTGTTCCCCTCCCCCTTGTTTTGAGACACAGAGGATCTCACTATATTGCCCAGACTAGCCTGGAGCTTCTGGGCTCATGGGCTCACTTGCCTCAGCCTCCTGAGTAGCTGGAACTGCGTGTACATAGCACTGCTCCTGGCTTTGGTGGTTCCTCTGCTGCCCTGTAGAAAGCAAGCAGAAACTACCACTCACTACAGGCTAAATGCACAACTTGGGCCTCAGCTTTCCAATCCGTAAAATAAGTCGGGGAGGAGGGCATGGTTTACACTAAATGCTTTCTAGGATACTAAACAACCGCAGCATTGTACAGTTAACCTTCTGCCCACGTTCTTCTGATGGGTTCACTCTGCAAAAGATTCGTCTCTCTTCCCTATCATTTGTTTTATGCCTCGATTACACCCAGGGTTTCTAAAGTTCTGAGGAAAGACAGTTATCCTAGCAGAGTCCCTCAATAGCCCTAGACACAGAGTATCCCCTTTCAGCCTCTGTGGTACTCCTTTTTTAGGGCATGTTGGAGAAACTCGAGTTGGACACAGCACTTAGAGACCGACTGAAGGGATAATATTGGATGATATGTTTGGACAAGGGACCAGGTGAACTTGCTGTCCCTTAATTTGCTCTGTAGACCAGGCTGGCCTCAATCTCACAGAGATCCTCCTGCCTCTGCTCCCCGAGTGGTGGGATTAAAGGTGTGCACCACCACCACCTGGCAAGGACCCTTTTAATCATCTTCCGTGCTCAGGGGAAAGTTGGGGGACAGAGTCATAGAGAGGCTGTAGCTCTATCAGGAAATGGATTCTTTGTCCTCTGTGCTCTGCCCTCTGCCTGCTCGCATGGGGGTTTCTGGAAGAAAGGTGTGATAAACTTCCCTCTCCACTCCCTTTAATCTTTGCAGGCCAACGTGTGTCCTCTTCTTTCCTTCTTGAAGGACTCCTGATCTCATCTGTCCTCATCCCCAGGAGATAGGAATCCTTATCCCAGAACAACCCATTTTCTGGCCACCATTAGGTAGCAGATACCTCGACTGGAAAGACTGGACAGTCACTGAGAAGGATGGTCAGACACTCCGCGGACCTTGCTTGCTTCTGTGCCTGGGTGGATGCGCAGCAGCCTCGCAGGCCGCCTCTCTGAGCACACCTCCTGCCACCCCCGCAGACACATCGGATGTTGCGTCGCCGCCCCGCCTCCTCTTGCTCTGCATCTGCCCAAACCAGGGCTGGCAGAACTCGGCGTGGTGGGGAGCGTGGGCGTGCTGCGGGGCGACCATGGCTGTAGACTGTTACCTCCGGTTCCCACAGTAACAATCGAAAGCCACGGTTGCCCTGGAGACGCGGGGGCGGGACTGTCAGGCTGACGTCAGCAC